CTGCGGGCTGAGAAGATGCTTAAAATGTCACCCCCCCCCCCTGTAACCTTGAAGCTCCCTACCAGAATCCTCCCCGCTCATGCCTTCCATCACAGGAACAGTATGTGTGTGAATACACATAAACACAATAAACATGTGAATACACATAAACACAAACCTGATCTGTTTGAGATGGTTTGAAACAAATCATTTCAGTTTCTTTTTTTTTCTCCCACCTTGACTTCTGGTTTCAATTGCACTTTAAAAGTGTTTAAATCATTTCCATCAGAATCTGGATTGTGCACTTTGTTGAAAACAATATTTTGAAGGTAAGCTTTAAAAAAAGATAGATTCAAGGTGTACAGTATTTGAATTTCGTCTTATGTATATGAAGAGGCTTGGTTAGGTATTTAGCTCTATTAACTCAATGGAACGTTATCTTTTGATTTCATATAAATGCAGCAACCTTTCATAAGCTATATTGTTGGCTATACTTGTCTATACATTTGTGAAAGTATTTGTGTTGACTTTATATAATTAAAATATTGTGTTGATTTGGTTGTATTTATTCTTTTAATTCCTAGTGTTCCATAAACTACAGAAAGAAGCAGAATTTCAAAGGAAAGAATGGTTCAGGAAACAAGGTAACTTATAATACAAAATGGAGAAAAAATAATATAAGTTTAATTCAGTTGCATGGATTTATACTATATTTTCTGAAGGTATTTATTTTACAAATTATTTCAAACAGGTCCACATTTTATTGAACATCTTGGATGGGAAGTTACCCCTGAATGTAATGTGTTACTGAAATGCAAGGTAAGGAACAGCAGTGATTTTGGCTTTGTTACTGTTGTAGAAGGAAAATTATCCTTAATGATAATATACATTATAAATATGTTTCAAGTATCTTACTGTCTTGTATTATTTATTTTGAATCCTAATAGAAAGTAGTAATCACAGGTTCAGTGTTCACAAGTATTGTTTATACATTGTGTTGTTTCAGAGCTGAAATGGCTGCAAAGTCTGAGTACTGTAGCTCATTACTTCACAATAATAATAACATTGCTATTATCTGAGCTATGATCTTTCCCTTTACAAAAAATATGAGATGCTCCCTCAGGAAAAAATGCAAAGAACTGAATAAGCAAACAACTTGAATGTTTTTTCTTTACCCAAAACATAGTTTATTGAGATGATGCTTCCCCAAGCAGATCATTGGGGATTGTTATCAATATAAGTAATAATTTCCTTTCTTTCTAGGTTGCTAACATTAAAAAAGAAACACACGTTATTTGGTACAAAGATGAAAGAGAGATAATGGTTGATGAAAAGCATGACTTTAAGGACGGTGTATGTACTCTGCTGATAACAGAGGTGAGTGATCTCCCTTGATAGTTGCTTTACAGGTGACAACATTTCTAAACATGCAGAATTTTCAGTTGACAGATGATCTCTAGGTCCCTACCATGAAGCAAAAGGAGGTTCTTTCAGATGGTACTTCTCACAGACATTGAGGACATATTAATTGAAGTCTGAAAGGTACCTTGAAGATTTCAAAGTGTCGGCTATAGCATGGGTTGTGTATGACCCTTTTTGTGTTCTGCTTCATGCAGTAAATTATTGGGCCAGCAATAAATGAAAGGCTCATTCATGCACTGTCAACACACTGGAAGGTTTTGAGAAAGATAAAATACCATATTTCACCTTCTCTGCATCCCTTTTTCCTTAAAACCCAGCTTTCCTTCTCTTTGTACAATGGGGCTTGTGATTTTCCTGTTAGGGGAATGGTGAGTTGGAGGAGAGTACAACTTTTCTAAAGTCACTTATTTATCCTACTTTCCCCACTGTAACAAAACTTTATGGTGGTAAAGTGTCTGCATCCATTTGTTATCAGTTATATTGCTGATGAGCTATTACATTTCTTTGAAAATTAAACTATATCATTCTCTGCATCAGTTAAGATAATTTATTGGAGTAGAAAACCATAAAATTATTCTGTCAAAATATAAAGTTTTGAAATCTGGGGATAGCAGAAAAATCTAAGCAAATCAAGCAAAAACTAAGGTAATACATTTTTCATCACTACTTCACAGCACAGCTTCCACGTGCCTCAGTTACCAGATATCCCCTCAGTATTTGTCCTATGGGGTTTCTGAAGGCATTGCCACACTCATCTGTGCCATCCCAGGATCATCCTCACTCCCTGTGGATCCAAACATTCATCCCTTTTCAGCAGTTGAACCAATATATTTTCAGCCCAGCTACAATGTACTTGAAATTACTGCAAAGCTGGTTTGTTTTTTGATATGCTGTAGCACTTCGGAGCTACTGAGTGGGCTGTAGCTCCATTTGCAGAAACTCTTCTATTATCCTACAACCTAAGTAATGGGCTACAGTCAGGCAAACAGATCTTTCAAGAGGAAAGATGGCTTGATAGCTTGTTACCTCCCACTTGTAGAAAATATTCATTCATTCATTCATTCATTCATTCATTCATTCATTCATTCATTCATTTACAGATAGTCAGTCAAATAAATACTATGTAAAATAAAGATCTGAATGCGGAGGGTGCAAGTAACGCTTCCCTTTAGTGTGGAATTAGTTGAGTTTTATTTCAGTTCCCCTGTTGCTGCAGGATGTGCAATTTCTCAGGATAGGCCCATGATTTTTGCTCTCTCTCCTAAATGTTGCAAGGTTCATCAATAATTTCACAAGTGGAGTCTGGGGGGAATGGTTTAAAAAGTCAAGATGAGATGATGGTCACAATTATGCTATCAAAGCCACACATCTTTTTAAGGTGTACTACTAAAAATGGTGGAGCTTTGATTATATAGTCATGGCTGCCATCTTGACTTTTTTTGACCACCACCTTCCCCCCCCCCACCGCTTATGAATGTCCTTGCAAAGACAAATTTTAATAATAAGAAGAATGATTCAAATTAAAGCTGCAGAGGAAGGACAACAAAGAAAACTACATGGATACAGCATAGCTAGCCGCAGGAGAAAGCCTCTATTTGTGCATATCTAGGAATGATTCCATAGGAACTAAAACCTTGCACTATTCATATTCTAGCTTCAAATGAAGCCTTCACATGTACACAAAGATTCCCACTGCAGATAGTTGCACTACATATGTGGAGACGACCTCTTCCCTGATAGCAGCAACATGACTTAGAGAAGGCAGGACCAGGTTGTTCCTTTTCACATGTTGAATCCTACACAGACACGTATCACCTGAATATTGTTGTTGTGACATAAGAACACGCTCTTCTGTTTAAGCTTTTCTTTACTTTAACCTTCTCCTCTTTGTTAAAAGTAACTTTGCAGATGCTGAGTGGCTAATGCAATCATAGCTTATGAAAGGCACAATCCTTTGTCTGAGATAGAGGAGAAATGACATGGTAATAGGAAAGCATTAAAAAGATGTGTTTGTTACAACCATAGTATATGAACAGTTCTATGTTTTAACATATTCTTGTTTCCCTCCAGAGAAGTATGGAAAGCTCTTTTGAGAAAGTAGTTTGTCTGTTTAATAAATGTGATATGCCATTGAGTCCTATAGTTTTTCAGCAATTTACAATAAAATATGGAACAAATAAAGGCTCGTAAGATTAGTTTCTGGTTTCCATGTTCAGGCCCTTATACATGATGTAACTTTTACAAAGAACATTACATTTTCTTTTATTTAAGCTTCAATGTTCCTTTTAAACTTGTCAGCTTTTTCCTTTTTTCCCTTGCCTCTAAGTCTGAAGATCCCAGACTTTCACACTGTAGAAATCACTTGCAGAAAATGCAGAATGTTTTTGATATTACTACTGATGGATGTTGTTTTGTTCACAGTTTTCTAAGAAGGATGCTGGTATATATGAAGTAATACTGAAAGATGAAAGAGGAAAGGACAACAGTAAATTGAAGCTTATGGAAGCAGGTAGGAGTGCTCTGGAAAGTAATATTTAGGCTGATCCTGTGAATGTACATTTGAGCATAACCCTCACTGATTTCAATCTGATTTAGTCTCTGCTTAGTGGGAAATTTTCTGATTAGATGTCACTACTATTCTATTTCAACACAGATAACACACAGCAATTCTGAGTGAGGGAATAAGAAGGATGGATTATCCCTGTTCCAAAGTCCCAGTGCCTCATGCTAGTTGGAGTTAAGATTATGGCACTGGCATAGATGTACCTGCTAAGAGAGAGTTTGTCTTTCATATTGTAACCCGCAACAGCTACTGAATAGTCTGTGAGAGTTAGAATAGCTCTGTCTATGGATTAATGGCCTGTTAATGTTAAAAGGAATGTTATTGTCTCAGCAAAAGCCTTTGTGTTTTGAATTCTGTTATTAGGAAGATAATGCTGATGCCACCAGTGACTACAAGATACAGCCTAGATAACCTGTGTTTTGATGAGGATATCAGATTTAAATCTAAGATTGCAATGTGTACTGCTAGTCATATCAATCCAGTTTACAACATTACATGGGATCTTTGGTCATAGTTCTAAAATTTCATACTCATGCCACAGTAGCAATTTCCTAAGCAGCTATTTGAAAAATTAAATGAGGCTAGTATAATTTAACATTCAGTATTAGTTAACATACTATAGTATAGTGTTTTTCAAACTTGGCAACTTTAAGATCTGTGGGCTTCAACTTTTTCTGGGATATGGGGCTTTAATTGAAAAGTGTCCTGAAACTTCAACTGGTGGCCAGTTCAAAGTACAGGGATCATATAATGCTTAAACTGTGGAGTCCATGAGGTTCTCTGAGCTTGGTTCTTTTCTTGCAAATGTTTCATTACCTGGCTAGGTAACATCGTCAGTGCTAAAATGGGATGAGGTTTGCTCTCTATTTATCTGCTGTGGCCTGCTTTGCCAGTACTGGTGGGGGTGGGGGTTCTGTTTTGCTCTTCTGGTAGTTCATTGATTAGCATATGTTGACTGCTTGATTGTGTGCCTGGTGGTGACCTTTGCTTTCTGGGCACAATTCAAGGTGTTCACATTGACCCTTAAAACCATTAGCAGACCGTGGCCTCTCCCACTATGAGCCTTTCCAGCTACTTATATCATCATCAGCAGCAGCAACAATTTTAATTCTGATGTTGCTTTATTTTATATTTTGCTTTCAAAGTCAATCTTGATTATTGAAGAAACAGAAAAGGGAGGGGAGAATAAATAAAATGTTTTAAAGAGATTTGCTGTCAAATAAAAACAGAGAGATTTAAATGCCATTAAAGCAAGTCAGGATTCAATCAAACACATGGAGAATAGTTGTAACATACTTCAAAAACAAATTTAAATTTCCTGCCTGCTCCATCTCAGTAAAAGGACCTCAGGGCAGTGTTCAGTCATAACCAAGAATATACGATCTGGAAACACTGAGTGTTTCTCTGGATTTGTTTCCACAGCTTTTACAGATTTGATAACGGAACTATGCAGGAAGATTGGTGAGTATTTAATTCCTCCTTCTAATGAATGACTCATTTGTACACTGTATGAATGACTGTAAGTCTTTTAAAACATGTGTTGTGTTTTTCAGCTTTATCTGCAACCGATCTGAAAATCCAGAGCACAGCAGAGGGCATCAGATTATATTCCTTTGTTAACTACTACTTGGAAGATCTGAGAGTGAGTTGGTCACACAAGTAAGTGAAGATGTCTTGCCAATGATGCTCACCTCATTCAACAGGGACAATTCTATACATGTTGAAATGTAGGACATGTTCATACTGATCCATTTCAGGCTCTTTCAGGATCAGTACAATCATTTCATTGGTATGTGCTGTATTCATGAGCCAGACAAGCAGAATTTATGTGTTAATGAATGAAGAATCTCAAGGATCTAGAGGATAGCAAATGATCCTTATATAAAATGCATTTTGTATTTATTCTTTCTTACAATATTATAACAGACGGATTGGAAAATAAAGATGTGGGGCCTCTTGATCTAGACACCATGGTTTTACCAGTTAGACTGCAGTCATCCTCTATGCCTTGAAGTGTGATTACAGCATTGCCATTGATCACTTTGGGACATTATCAACAGTCAGAATCAAAGTGGTGAATTATTATTAAATATGATTGATTCTCAAAGAATCTATGTATTACTAAAACTCTCAGTGTTTGCCTGTTCATAACCTTCAGTTGGGTGAAACAGTGTATCATAGGGCAACAATTTTTGAATCAATGTTCCTCAAATGGGCTAACTTAAAAAATGCATCCAAAATCCAGGACCCATTACTCCCATGGGACTGAAATTTGGCAAAGTTGTGGCTGCTTCAGTGCCACCACACCTTCTGACTACACTTCCCAGAAATCTGTAGGTTGTGTGGTGCAAGGGAAGCAAAGTGGCAGGTATTTCCACAGGACAGCTGAGGAGGGGGAGGAGTCACAGGTTGTCTAGTATACATTAATTTCTATCTTGATCTATAGTTCAAAACCATTTTTCCTAACAGATGTTTGCCAAAAAAAAAATGCCTTCTGTTTTTTATATCTGCTATTTAATAGGGACATCTTAAGGGCCAATACTACCTTTAGGAAATGCTGTTCATCTCAATGGGAGTGAATCCTTCTGAGAGGCTTGCTCAGAGATAATCTTAAAGGTGTAGAACATTTCAAAAACACAGTATATACTTATTCAAACTCTCTCTCCTTACTCCCTTAATAAGGATGCTTGCAGCCACAACTGCCTTTGGAAAAAGACTCACTCATATAACAGTTAGTCTCACTCTTCTTGACTTCTTCCCCTTGAGCCTGTCTGAATCCAGGTGTTCTTCTTCTTCTTGGCCATAATCCTCCCCCAGCCCAAACCCATTTGAAGCATCTCAAAGGTGCAACTTCCAGCTTTTAGTCTTCTTAAACTGCCTCTTACTATAGACTAACCAATTTCTTTTCCTTTGTTTTCTTTTTCCACTAGCCATTGCCCTCAGCTCACCACTACTTTTCTCCTTTCTTTCCCATGTGTGTGTCTGTCTTTGTCAAGTGAAGTCCCTTGAACCAAGAGGTCCACAGCATTTTTATACCTTACTCAAACTCTAAGTTTTGTTTCTTCCATTTCTATTCTTTGCAATAACCTCCTTCTGAAAATTCCCTATTTTGAATTCCTTGAAAGCTCCACACTGTCTTCCTGCAAACCCCTTATCACTATAATTTGTTTAGTTTTATTTCATCCTCTTCACCTTTATAAAGTAGGATCCCGTTTCCTCTACCTCTGCCTCCTTCGGGTTACAGACCTGTGTAATCAGATTCTTAGCACCCAGGTTAATTTTGTTATTTTTCACTACAAACCCCTACCAGTGTGCATCAGATTTATCTGTTCCCCAGCTGTACTGTAAAAGTCTGGGTACACATTATATTGATAATGTGGGAGTTATGCAGTGCAGCTCTTCCCTTATTCCCTTGGTCATCTGTGTTGGGTTGGGAAAATGCATACTAGCTTCTAGGAAAAGCAACACTATGAGGTAGTAAAATGCTACAGTCTCTTTCCTATGAGGAAACAAGAGGTGCTATAGATCTTCACATGCCACCAGCATAACATAGGAAGGGAGACACATATCACCCAAATTTTATCAAAAGAAGATAAGCTGAAGAACAGCTATGCTCAGTTGGGGTTTGGGTAAACATTTTAAGACACTATAAGACTACAGGAATCTCCTCCCAAAGACAACCAAATGCAGATATGGACTGTACTCTTGAAACATCTCAGTTCTTGGAGAAATTGAGCCAATCTATTTCATATATGCATACGCATGTAGCGTGTTTTTAAGCTTTAACAATAACCTCAATTCATCAAATTTGGAACTGGAAGTATGGAAGGCTAACTCTTTCTCTATACATTACAATTCTAGTGAATATTTTTGTCTCTACAATAACTGTCCTGGAAATAAAGTTGCAAATTTTCTACATGATGTAAAACAGGGAAAGTTTAAGGTAGTCCCTGTCAGGGAAAAGCATAAAAATAATTCTTTACATAATCTATAGTTTGTTTGAGAATATCAATATCACTACAACACTAGGATGAAAAAAAATACTTTAATGTTCATGGTACTGCAGAATAATAGAAGCTGAAATTCAAGTACATTTGGAAAAACTGTTCTGGAACATAATGAAGTGAAAGAAAGTATAGCTAGAATAGAAATATCCAGTTGTCACACAACTGTAAATTATCTATTCAGGTTCCCAATACATCCAAAATTATCTGTACTATCTATATAATAAAACTTATAATAAATTATATTTATACATTTTTTAAAATTATATAAAAGTACATGAATGGTTATTTGTATTATTTATATATAAAGCCTATAATACATTTTTTATTTTTCAGTGAAGTCAAAATTAAGTACACAGAAAGAGTCAAGACTGGAGTTACAGGGAACCAAATCTGGTTGCAAATTAATGAACCAACACCAAATGATAAGGGAAAATATATATTGGAGCTCTTTGATGGTAAAACTACACACACAAAAATGGTGGATCTTTCTGGAAAAGGTAAATGACTAAATTTTAATTAGGGATTTGCAGTGCATAACATTCCAGAAATATTCATGGTATTTCAAATGTATATTATGTTCCAAACACCAAAAAGTGCTTCCTACTGCGGGGGATTTCTTTCCAGGAGGCTTTCATTGCCAGATCAACATAATTCAGAAAAAAAGGAACTTTCTGATGTTCACCACAATGTTCTGTTACTAAAATTACATATTTTGTGCTACCTGCTAATGCCATTCACAAATTAGTGCAGAAATTGAAAAACCTATGGCTCTTGGTGACAGCATCTCTTACCCTTCCAGGTATATGATTTTATAATAACTTCCAGCTACTTAGAATGAAAGAACTGAGAAGCTAGCTAGGGTCTTCACAATTTAAGTTTTGAACTGTAAGATATATCTCAGTTGCAGCTGATCCACAAATGACTATTCCAAGTCCAAGCAGAACTACTGAGTTTGTGGCTGAGAAACTAAGATGCTATTTTTAATGAGATGATAAACATCTGTATGCAAGCATATTTAGTCAACTGATTAAAAATATGTGCAGATTTATTGTTTTAGATTCACCCCACTTAACATAACTGAAACAGAGCTACAGTATTGATAGCAGTCTTACCTTAGAACACTAATGCTATTAGTTTGTACTTAACAATTACATTAAGGACACTTCCTTAGATGTTTCCCACAAGGATTAGTCCCACAAATTCCTTTAAGACTGATTATGCATATTCATATATATATAGAATATGTGAATGAAAGAGACAAAGAGGTCTGTGCCTCACATACTACATCATCTTCATTGTTTTGATCATCTCTGTGTACCAGTTCAATTTACAAACTCAGCACTTATGTACTGTGCAATCAAGTGGCTTAAATTGTGCTTCCAGTACATGAAACATATCTTGCAGATCAATCCTCTGCATATTTGCTCAGGAATAAGTCCTAGTCCTAAGTCCTAGTGTTCAGTGACATGTGCTTATTGGAATGCGGCTTGTAAACCGTAACATTAATGTCCATCCTTGAGTTTAACCATAACATTAATGTCTGTCCTTGAGTTTAACCAGTGTCCAATGGAGCATTTATTTCTTCTTGTTAAAGAAAAAATAAATTCTGAGAGTTTCCTCATATAGTTCTGCTTGATTTTTAGTGGTCCCTAATGCCAAACATCTATTGTTAATTTTTTTTTTTTTTAATCAGCATTAGGAGAGTACCACTGTCCTAAAACTCTTTAGAATACGCTGCAGTGTATGACAGACTTTGCTATATGTAGTTGATAAGACAATTAATATAGGAACAGTTTTGTACTGGATAACATAATTTGAATTTCACTTGTATAGCTTGAGTTCCTCAATGTTCCAACATAATTCAAATCCACAAAAAGCTAAATAAAGTAATAGCATAAATTGATTTCATAAAGTCTATTAATATAACCCTTTTCTTCTTTTATTAAGCATTTGATGACGCCTTTGCTGATTTCCAGAGATTAAAGTAAGTATACAGTTTAAGTAAAATAACAGAAGTTCCGCTGTTATAATTAGGCCTACCATATCTGGACTGCAAAACTTTGACAATGTAGAGTTTTCCACATCTCTATTTTCATCTAGCAGTTACTCAAATGACTGCAATCCAGATCTAAATTTACTTACTATTAGTTTAACTATCAGTTTGTGAAACTTTGTTCTAATGGTGGATCACTTTCAATATTTTTGGAATTTGAACACTGCCTGCTTTAAATGAAGTACAATGGACAGGTTCAAAGCACAGTGGGGAATTACTCTCTCCCTTTTACCAAATAGTAGTTCAGCTACTAATTGCTACTGAGCAGTTAATTGAAGGGAAATCTATATCCAGACATGATGGAGGGATGAGTTTGCCCTACTGCAATCCAGAGTATGACAAAAGATCTATCTTTATTCAGCTATTATCACTATATACTCAGAAGAGGAAAGTCTTGTGCTTTGTTTATTGAAAGTAGTTTCAGCATTATTTTGAAGGCTGATCCAGAAATACCATAGAAAAAATACATTAACAAAGTGAGATATTATGCTGCATTATTTTCTTCAGCTGTTTAAAGAGTTGCACAGAGTACAGCTTTTCCATCACTGTGCCTTACTATAAAACTGAGTTTTCTTTCTGCCTTTCTCAATTACAGAACAGCTGCTGTTGCAGACAAAAGTAAGCAAACTCTCTTTTCATTTGGTGCCTGCATTGCCAGTAGGATGGAATGCTTCCTATTTATTTCTAGTGATGGGGTTTTTCATAAGAGTTTTTTCATAAGAGCTTTTTTTTTTTGGTAATATTTATTATTTTAATCAGTCCACTCAAATATTTACAAATATACAAGTTGACTCATAGAAGGGCAGGGAGTAGATAGGTAATGCAAACAGGCTTGAAATAATCCAAGCATCCTTCCCCTCCAAATAATGGCTATAGTGCAATATTGTTTAGTGTCAATTAACTTCAAGAAGCTCAAACTTCGGGGGTTTTTTTCCCCTGATCAACAGTTTGCATTTGTTGCTAACCTTGAATGTCTATTACAAGCTATTATTTCTGGCCACGCCATGAAATAACATGTGATTCATAACAGCACTTTTATCACAGTTATTACGTTTAGACGGGGAGGGTGTGTGTATGCTGAAAGAAATTCTAATTCATGCCACTTAAGGAATTGTCAGTCCTGCCCTTCCCCAAAGTTTTCAAGGCAGGTTTGCAATAAAGATTACAATACAAAATAGAACTATGTATTGCAATGAACAGTAAATTGCACATCACAAAATGGTAAACTCTTGTCAAATCTTCTCCTCTCCAATCTATTGTAATATGTAGTTATTTAAACACATGCTGTGCATGCAAAAAATTCTAGTTCAGTTAGAGTTATCTCAAGTAGAATAGGAAAGACTCAAGAAGAATCGCTGCAAGGCACTGCAAACCAAAGGTAGACAATTTGCTGTCCTCCAGTTTTGGACCATAATTCCTACAATATTTGCCTTTGGCCTTTCTAATTTGGGCTAATGGAAATTAGTCCAAAACTTCTGGAAGGCACTGAGTTGACTACCTATAGTAAGCTGGAGAGGCCAATGGTCTGTATCAGGATAATGTAGCTGACCCATGATATGGAATAGAGTTTGGAAAATATGTAACATTATGACAAAAGATCATAAAGTACTGTTTATAATTTTTTGAAAGGGATATGGAGAAAACTGCAGTTATTCTGAATAGCCTTTACTTATATATGGAGCGAGAGATCTATGATCCTCCAGAACTCCCTACAACTCTGAGCATCCCTTATCATAAGCTCTGCTGGTTGGGGATGCCTGGAATTACAGTTCAACACCTGAAATTTCATAGGTTCCCCACCTGATTCGTAGCATTGCAGCTGTTATATTTAGTTTAGATCAGAACATTTATTATTTTAGGCTATTTACATAAATTACTAATGTTTCTATCATCCATTACTTGTGCCAGTAGCTGGTATCAGATATTAACAATGTAACGTTCATGGTAAATTTCATTTCAGGCAGAATAGGGCAAAAATACTAGGAACCATTATCAGATTGTATGTAGCACTGGCAACTTGCAGAAAAATAAGATCTTCTTCTATTCTGCCAGACAGAACAACCATTACGGGGAAAATAAAATAATGGACACAAATTAGTTTGCAAGAAAAATTACATTTTTATTTTTATTTATTTTGCAGATCGTGCTCGGGTACTTGGAGGTCTGCCAGATGTTGTCACTATTCAGGAAGGCAAGGTATAAAATAACCACTTGAAATATTTAAAAGAAGTAATTCTGCAGCTTTCTTAATTCTCAGAGAAGAGCAAGCTCCCAATTTTCCCAAGGCCCTGATAAAGAAATAGATCTCCTATTCATCTTTGGCACAGAGAATTTAATTTCAGTTAGCTAGGCAGCAAGCTTCATGTATTTAGGGCACTTTTACCTCTTAAACAGAATATGAAAGAGTGAAGAGGGAGGGAGGGACTCAAGATTCAGATCATAATCCAGCAGAGGGCTGTCTACTAACCTTGCTGATTTCCAGAGATCTTCGCTGTATTGGATTTTGGTACAACATTAATGAATTATTTTCCATGGATGCTTCATGAAAAATTATGTGCTAGCACAAGATACGGCACAACATCACAGGGAGTCCTCATTTAGAGACTTCAATGGGTTCTGGTGAAATGCAAACGTGACAGCAAGAGAGAGAGGCACTGCAAAGATTGCTGGTTGCTGCTGTTTCATTCAGATAAAGTTCTGTGTACAGTGTCCCATGCCTGACCCTTTCCACTTTTGTCACCCTGCAGAGTGGAGATACTGCTGAAGCAAACTATATTGTCCTGAGCTGCTTTTCTCTGCAGCAGCGTGCTTCCCTAAAAAGTGCTAACTACAAGTTAACAAGCTCAGCTCTGTGACTTTAATTAGTTGATTAGAAGCCTCTAGAAAGCTGCAGCTGTTGCCTGAAATTGACCAGAGCTTAATAAGTTTCACACTGAGGCCTTTTGTTGTCATGAATGGGGGCACTGGCAGCAAAATTACTTTTTCATTGCCATTGTAATTGTGAAGGGTTGCTCTCTGAGGCAGTCACTAAGCAAGGACTACCTGTAATCTAAACTTTCTTCTCTCAGTCAGCCAGTAATATAAATCTTCATAAATGATTTTTAAAATATTAGTTAATTTCTGCTTTTCCATTAATGAATGGTGTTCAAGGCACAGGTCTTCAGATGTTCTTTAAAAGAAACAAACAAACAAAAAAGCAATGAAATATTAGATTGAGATCAAGAAGAACAGACATGTAATCCTTCTAGCTTTGTTCTTTTTTTTTTGTATTAATAACTCTTCCTGCATAAAGGAGTGGGTGTAATTAAAAATGCTCGATTTAAACTCAATTTAAACTACTTTAAACTCCTTTGGGGTTTAAAACCGTATCTGCTTACAAGACTTTAAGCTTCCCATGCATACCTTCCCAATCTAGTTTACACTGTTAAACTTACAATTAACTAATAAAAAATCAGAAACTGGAACAGAATGGGGAGGAATTTATATATTGTTCTCCAGCGTAGCCATTATGCTATTAATATTTCAGAAGAGTTTAGAATATTTCCAATGTTATTTAGATTTTAATCATCACATATGTGAGATTCTGGATAATATATTAATTGAAGTTTCTAACAGCAGTCTTTAACTTTTGGCTTCTTGCTTGGCTCAGAATTATCTTTGGTTTGAAAATTAACCAAGCCATAATATAATATTTGTCACATTTTCTCATGAAACTTTTAAGAATCACATTTGCCAATGTGGTTTGGAAAAATACAGAATTTGAAATGAAAAGTAAACCAATCAAATACAGAGTTGTAATAGAAATGATCATGACCTGGACAAAGTTGTTTTATGCATGTTAATCACTGCTTAGTTTATATTATTTAAACTGAAAGCCTGATTTGCAATCATTTTGTGACCTGTATTGTAAATGTAACTTTCTTTGAACATAAACAAGGGTAGCTGTCTATTAAAGGAATAATTATCCAAGTATTTCCAGTATTTAAATTTATGACAAAACAAGTATGTAGTTTTTGATTATTACAAGGAAGAGAAAATAGTGGAACACAGAAAGGTTGTAGTAATAGCAGTAATGGAAAGGTAGAAGAGGAGTGGGGAGGAGAAGGTAATAGTAGAAGTATAGTAATGGTAGTGTTTATTGAGTACTCTAACTTAAAATCAATTATACCAACGTAAGGCTTGACATATCTCGCTTTGCATGTAATGCGTCTATCTCATAT